GGGGGGGTTCCTGCGTATATTCGTACACAATCGAAATATAGGTTTATTCCCACATCAGACATGCCGTTGCTTACCTTGGCCAGCTCAGCAGCGGTGCGAAACTTTTGAACCTCCATGTTCTTCGACTCGAGCTGTTTGAACATCGTCTGAACTTTCTCCTCTCTGTCGTCAAGTTCTGAGACAGAAAATATTTTATTAAAAATTTGATATTTAATTTTGACTCTCCCTCCTACCCTGCTTACCAAACAATGATGATGATGATGATGATGATGATGATGGTGATGATGATGATGGTGATAATGATGGTGATAATGATGGTGTTGATGATGATGGTGATGATGATGATGATGATGACAACAACTACTACAACAACCACCACAACAACGACACAACCAGACAAAAAAGAGCTTCCACCTACCTGTCTGTAGAGCCAACAACTTCTCGCTGAGTCCACTGACCTCATCCTTGGCTTGCTGCAGAGCTTTCTCTATCTTCTTCCTCCCTCTGTGGACACAGCCAGCACACGTACATCTTCATTTGAGTAAGTTTTACGGCACTTGCAACACAGATAGGTCATACATGTGCCAAGGATTACAGGTTTTACTACTAGAAAGTACCCCCTCCCCAACCCCCCCAAAACAAACACACAACCAAACCCCCCCACCTTGAGTCTGAATAATAAATAGTATCACACATCGACACTGTGACGGCCATTTTGTACAGGAGAACACTGACACAGACAAAAACACGGGAGGGGGGGGGGGGGGGGTGAATAGGGAAACAGGAGGGTGGCATTCTGTGGTAAAATTTCTTTTCTGCTTCCGATACACGTGTAAATAAATTTCTCACTTAAAAATATGAGAAGTAAATCAGAGTTAATTAATTGATCAATGAATGTGGTTATTTATTTGCATATTTATCTATTTATTCATTCATTCATATATTTATTCATTTACTTATTTATTTATTCATTAATTAATTAATTAATTTACTTACTTATTCATTCTTCTATTTATTTATTTATTTATTTATTTATTCATTCATTCATCTCTTTCTTTCTTCATTCATTCATTCATTTTTATTTACTTATTTACATATTTTTATTTACTTATTTATTTATTTATTTACTTAATCATCAGTTACCATTTATCTACCAAAGTACTAAATTTGAAATGTTTATATATTTACCAGTGCATTCATTTTTCATTCATTCACCCATTTGTGTTTTTAAATAATATAGTACATATACCTACGTATATTGTATAATTTACAAATGGATTTACGCATTTATATGTGTATCTATTTATTTGTCCGAATCTCTTTATCTGTCTACAACTAGATGTACCTTAGAGCAGTGCTGTGTAATTATTCAGTTCACAGTCAAACGTGAGCACAGATCGGTGCAGGATTAACATTTATCAGCCAAACGACGGTTACATACCAAACATTTAAACAAACAAACCAAGCATTAAAACACACTAATCAGGCATTTAAACAAACAAAAATAAATCAGGCATTTAGACAAACAAAAACAAATCAGCCATTTAAACAAACAAATCAGGCATTTAAACACACAAACCATACATTCAAACAGACAAACCAGACATTTCAACAGATAAAACAGGCAGAGATCAGACAAACAAAAAAATGTGCGCCCAGTGCTGCAAATTGAAATTTAAAAAAACCAGCAGTAGTGTAGCTCAAACATTTTTTAAAAATTGACAAATTAGTAAAAAAAACCCCAACAAAAAACAATAAATATAAAACCCAAACAAACAAAACAAAAGCCAAAACCAACCAACCAAACAGACAAACAGACAAACACCACCATGTGTAGAGAGTGCTGGGTAGTACCTTGTGGTCCCTCCATCACTGATAGAACAACAGATTTTTAAAAGTTTTAGTCAGAGTTTTACGGCACTTGCAACACAAAAAGGTCATATAAGTGCTGAAGAATAGATTATGTGTTACAGGAGAGTAACAAACACAGAAAAGAAGGAGGAGAGACAAGGACTGACTGAAGTTTTTTTCGATTAAAAAAAATTTTTGTTAAAAAAAAATTTTCTTTCTTTTTTTTTTACTTAAACAAGCCAAAATTCTGCCGCTTGAAGAAAAAAACCTAGTACTTATCTGGGTCAAATCAACTTTCTCTTTTTGAAGATTTAATTAAAGTGACAAAGTCCGCACCCTTCCTCCCTTGGTCGCGTGCCGATACCTCAATAATATTCCTCGGATAGATATAAACATAATAATATGGAAGCTGTCAGATTTTCTTTTTTTAAAATGAAACTTATTTATTAATATATTTTATTCATTTTATTACTTTATTTATTATAGCGAAAGATCTTGTTTGCTTGCTAGTGTTTGAGCACACACATGTAATCCGCAGCCAGCACGGTATGCTTCCCGGGAAGCCAAGAATGTTTCTGAGTGTTCTAGGGTCTGCTGAGGTAATAATAGTTGTAGAGCTCATAGAACAAGCTGTAGAGCATGGATGTGAGCGCATCTATTATGATAATGATTATTATCATTATTTTTATTATTATTAGGATTACCATTATGATAATAATAATTATTATTACTTTTATCATATTTATCATATTATTATCATTATCATTATTACTGCTATTATTAATATTTTGAAACAGCTTTATTTTTCGAGCAATCTTGGACAGAACATGGTTTGTTAGATACTAGATTTTGCTTTCAGCTGCAAATTAAAAAAAAATTTGTGAACAAGCCACAAGCAGCATATAGATCTAGAGAACTTACTTTGAGTCCATGGGAGTGTCCCTTGCAGCATGAACATACAAACAATTCACAAATCATATGGAGAGAGATCTTTCTCATATCTTGGTCCATTTATGTGGAACAGATTACCCATGAAACTAAGACAAATAAGAACACCTATAG